TGCCGAATTTGGTGAAACGATTTCGAGTCCCCAAATTGGCCCCCAGGGGCCCCATTACTGCTCCCTTAACTCCCCCCAGTTAAGGGAGCAGTAATGGAAAAAGTTAAGGGAGCAGTAATGCGAATTAGGTTGTAAAAACCATTACTGCTCCCTTAACTCGCTGCTCCCTTAACTCCCGCAGTTAAGGGAGCAGTAATGGAGGTTTTGGGGTCCGTTTGGGGGTCCAAAATTCGCCAAAAATCCATGATTTCGAGCCCCTAAATTGGCCTCCAAATTGGCTTCCAAATTGGCCCCCAGGGGCCCCATTACTGCTCCCTTAACTCCCCCCAGAAGGGAACAGCAAAGGGAGCAGTAATGGAAAATTAAGGGAGCAGTAATGGAAAGTTAAGGGAACAGTTAAGGGAGCAGCAATGGAAAGTTCAGGGAGCAGTAATGGAAAGTTAAGGGAGCAGTAATGGAAAGTCAAGGCAACAGTTAAGGGAGCAGTAATGGAAAAGGGAGCAGTAATGGAAAGTTAAGGGAGCAGTAATGGAAAGTTAAGGGAACAGTTAAGGGAGCAGTAATGGAAAATTTAAGGGAGCAGTAATGGAAAGTTAAGGGAGCAGTAATGGAAAGTTAAGGGAGCAGTAATGGAAAGTTAAGGGAGCAGTAATGGAAAGTTAAGGGAACAGTTAAGGGAGCAGTAGTGGAAAGTTAAGGGAGCAGTAATGGATAAAGAAAACGTGTTAGAGTAACATCCTAATATATATATATATTATACAATATATATATATATACAATATGTACATATATATATATATGTATATAAATATATGTATATATGTATATATATACACATGTATATATATATATACAATATACATATGTATATATATATACACAATGTATATATATATATATATACAATATAATTACATATGTATATATATATAAATGGGCTAACGCCCTGGTGCCGCCGACCCCCATTTTGAGGCAATAGTTATCCGATGTTATCCTAGATGTTTCCATATTTGTCATTTGTCCCAAAGTCATTTTCTAGTGATTCTGTGCTGTTTCAACACGAATAGAAGATGGGGCTCTTTAGTTATAAGTCGGTATATAATCACGTTATAGACAGTTATACCTACCATAAACCACACGAAGCGAGTGATGAACCAATGCGGCTATCATGTGAGGGCCCTATGCTATAGCATGTATATGCCTGTACGGGGGCGCTTGGCAGTGGAAAGAAAGGAGCACAGCGACCGAGTACCAAAGTAAGTTGAATGTATGTATGCACCTGCAGCCCCTTGGTACTGTAAGTATCTTTATACTACAGGCTGAGGATTAATTATTAATGATAACCATTCTGGGATATCGGTTACTCTCCTGAACTGTTTTTTTACGTGCACGAAGGGTTTTTACGCCTCTACGAGGTATATAGCTCAAATAAGATCTCCAAAAGCGGAATGACAGGGTTTTGGGATGTTTTGTGCACTGTTCGAATGTGGCTGGGACATGCTTTGGAATGCTGCTAGTCTAGATCTGAGTCTTTGAGTTCAGAATTGAAGAGGTATACGTGCACGGTCGTAAAGCTGAATGGCAAAGCAGGCACGGAGCCGCTTCGGAAGCTGCTGCGGAGCATTTTGATCATTTGAGGCTTGTAAGGCCGGAGAACAACGTGCCACATAGCAGTTTCGAAGCCCAAGAGACAGCTTGTGGGGCCTAGGGAGGTACCATGTCCAAGCAAGCGGCACGCCTTCGAAAGCTGCTGCGGAGGGTTGTGAGGTTATAAGGCCTTCGAAAGCTGCTGCGGAGGTTTTGAGGCTTTCAAGGCCTGCCACATAGCAGTTTCGAAGCCCAAGAGAAACAGCTTGTGGGGCCTACGGAGGTACCACGGCCAAGCAAGCGGGACGCCTTCGAAAGCTGCTGCGGAGGGTTGTGACATTCTAAGGCCTTGGAAAGCTGCTGCGGAGGTTTTGAAGCTTTTGAGGCCTGCCCAAAACGTGCCTCATAGCAGTTTCGAAGCCCAGTAGAAACAGCTTGTGGGGCCTAGGGCCTAGGGAGGTACCATGGCCAAGCAAGCGACACGCCTTCGAAAGTGAGGTTCTAAGGCCTTCGAAAGCTGCTGCGGAGGTTTTGAGGCTTTTGAGGCCTGCCCAAAACGTGCCACATACTAGCAGTTACGAAGCCCAATAGAAACAGCTTGTGGGCCTAGGGAGGTACCATGGCCAAGCAAGCGGCACGCCTTCGAAAGCTGCTGCGGAGGGTTGTGAAGTTATAAGGCCTTCGAAAGCTGCTGCGGAGGGTTGTGAGGTTATAAGGCCTTGGAAAGCTGCTGCGGAGGTTTTGAGGCTTTTAAGGCTTGCCCAAAACGTGCCACATAGCAGTTTCGAAGCCCAATAGAAACAGCTTGTGGGGCCTAGGGAGGTACCATGTCCAAGCAAGCGGCACGCCTTCGAAAGCTGCTGCGGAGGGTTGCGACGTTCTAAGGCCTTCGAAAGCTGCTGCGGAAGTTTTGAGGCTTTTGAGGCCTGCCCAAAACGTGCCACATAGCAGTTTCGAAGCCCAAGAGAAGCTGCTGCGGAGGGTTGTGAGGTTATAAGGCTTTCGAAAGCTGCTGCGGAGGTTTTGAGGCTTTTAAGGCTTGCCCAAAACGTGCCACATAGCAGTTTCGAAGCCCAAGAGAAACAGCTTGTGGGGCCTAGGGAGGCACCATGGCCAAGCAAGCGGCACGCCTTCGAAAGCTGCTGCGGAGGGTTGTGAGGTTATAAGGCCTTGGAAAGCTGCTGCGGAGGTTTTGAAGCTTTTGAGGCCTGCCCAAAACGTGCCTCATAGCAGTTTCGAAGCCCAATAGAAACAGCTGTGGGGCCTAGGGAGGTACCATGGCCAAGCAAGCGGCACGCCTTCGAAAGCTGCTGCGGAGGGTTGTGACGTTCTAAGGCCTTCGAAAGCTGCTGCGGAGGTTTTGAGGCTTTTGATGCCTGCCCAAAATGTGCCTCATGGCAGTTTCGAAGCCCAATAGAAACAGCTTGTGGGGCCTAGGGAGGCACCATGGCCAAGCAAGCGGCACGCCTTCGAAAGCTGCTGCGGAGGGTTGTGACATTCTAAGGCCTTCGAAAGCTGCTGCGGAGGTTTTGAGGCTTTTGATGCCTGCCCAAAACGTGCCACATAGCAGTTTCGAAGCCCAAGAGAAACAGCTTGTGGGGCCCTAGGGAGGTACCATGGCCAAGCAAGCGGCACGCCTTCGAAAGCTGCTGCGGAGGGTTGTGAAGTTATAAGACCTTCGAAAGCTGCTGCGGAGGTTTTCAGGCCTTCAAGGCCTGCCCAAAACGTGCCTCATGGCAGTTTCGAAGCCCAATAGAAACAGCTTGTGGGGCCTAGGGAGGCACCATGGCCAAGCAAGCGGCACGCCTTCGAAAGCTGCTGCGGAGGGTTGTGAGGTTATAAGGCCTTGGAAAGCTGCTGCGGAGGTTTTGAGGCATTTTGAGGCCTGCCCAAAACGTGCCTCATAGCAGTTTCGAAGCCCAATAGAAACAGCTGTGGGGCCTAGGGAGGTACCATGTCCAAACAAGCGGCACGCCTTCGAAAGCTGCTGCGGAGGGTTGTGACATTCTAAGGCCTTCGAAAGCTGCTGCGGAGGTTTTGAGGCTTTTGAGGCCTGCCCAAAACGTGCCACATAGCAGTTTCGAAGCCCAAGAGAAGCTGCTGCGGAGGGTTGTGAAGTTATAAGGCCTTCGAAAGCTGCTGCGGAGGTTTTGAGGCTTTTGAGGCTTGCCCAAAACGTGCCACATAGCAGTTTCGAAGCCCAATAGAAACAGCTTGTGGGGCCTAGGGAGGTACCATGGCCAAGCAAGCGGCACGCCTTCGAAAGCTGCTGCGGAGGTTTTGAGGTTTTGAAGCCAAAGCCGGCACAAGGCCATGCCGCACACCTACGGTGATCCCGGGCGCCGCCCCGCCTAGGCCAAGGCTAGGCAGGGGTCGGCGGATATACAATATATATATATACACATTATATATATACAATATATATATATACAATGTTTACAACATACAATATATATGTACAATGTATATATATATACAATATATATATATATATATTATACAATATGTACATATATATATATATGTATATATATACACAATATACATATGTATATATATATACAATATATATATACACATTATATATATACAATATATATATATACAATGTTTACAACATACAATATATATGTACAATGTATATATATTGTATATATATATATATTGTATATATATATATATATTGTATATATATATATTATACAATATATACATACAATATATACAATATATATATATATATTATACAATATATATATATATACAATATGTACATATATATATATGTATATATATACACAATATACATATGTATATATATATACAATATATATATATACATACAATATATATATATATACAATATATATATATATATACAATATTTTGTCTTGGCAGAACCTTCTGGACCTGATCCACTGAGCATTGGGAAGTCCATTGAGTCATGGACTCAATTTGGTCAAAATAATTTGTTTTCTGATGTTCTGTTTTGCTTCTTGGAAGTGGCTAAATCAACTTTTGACTGAACAATGAACTTGGCATAACTTTGCTGTTTTGTCTTTTTTTGAATGAACTTTGAGAAAAATAAGTTGATTTGACGTGCCACAGGTCACTGGCAGATGCAGTTGCCAAGACGACCAATGCCATGATGGGAGAGGGATGTGCCCAGAAGACCAAGTGACCTCCGCCGAGGAAAGAAGGCTCAAAGCGCCACTTTTCGCCGTGATTGACAGTTGCTGTAAGTTGCTGTAACATGAGTGACTCCTTTTTTCTGGTCGGGACATGTTGGGACTTCTGACAGGTGCATGTATCAAGTCTCAAGAGCCTTTGCGCCGACAGCTGTCACCTGCCCTGTTCAACACCTTAGCAATTGATGCTGCCTCTTTTGGCCCAAAGTGCATGACTAGAAAACCAGAACTGTGCGGAAACAGACCTGAGCTAAGACGACTCGAAATTGAAACTCTGAGAGTCTCGGGCATGGGCCAATGGGCAGCACTTTCCACGGTGAAATGCACGTGAGGCCATGGGCGCTACGCCTTACTGTGTGCAGGTCACTGGACATGAATGTAGTCAGGCGGGCAGCACTGGAAATCTGTAGGCTTTCAGATTCTAGGCCCAAATAGAGAGAAATGGAGTGTGATTATTCAGATGGATTTCCCAATCATATTGCATCAATTTGCATCATATGTCGTCACATTTCATGACATTTCGTCACATTTCAGCATCTTTGATATGCCCATATTGATAGCAGACAACCATAAAACATCGCCAGCGACCCAGCGACCTGACGAAGGATGCTGTTGCTTCGCAGCCCCATGAGCTGCAACGAACTTCGACGCTGGGGCCTGAGGGGACCATCGTTGGGACCGGCCCGTTGGGACCGGCCCGTTGGGACCTACCTGGGTCGCCCGGATGGAAAGGATCTTTCCACTGGTGACCAATGTTGGAATGTGTTTCATCTATGATTATGATTCTACAATATGATATTATATATTATTCTATAATATTCTATAATGTTCTTTAATATTCTATAAAATTCTATGATAATCTATAGTATTCTTTAGTACTCTACAGCATTCTATAGTATTCTATGATATTCTGTAATATTCTATATAATATGCTATAATATTCTGAAATATTTCACAACATCTATAATATTCTATAATATTATTCTTCTATAATATTTTGGAACATACAATACTATATTATACTATTCTTTAATATTTTACAACATTCTATAATAATATTCTAAAATTCTATACTATTCTATTCTATTCTATTTTGTAATATTTTGTAATATTTTGTGATATTTTGTAATATTCACTATCTATGATATTCTATAATATTTTATAACATTCTATAGTATCCTTTAATATTCTATATTCTACAATATTCCATGTTTTTTCATGTTCATTCAGTATACCGATTTCTAGGCTTTCTGGCACTGATGACGAGGGCAGCTGGATGCCATCTGGTCAGGCGATGTGCCGCAGCTGGCAGCGCGTTGGCCATTGTGGGTGCGATGAGGAGAAGTGGTGAGGAGGCAAAGGGGGCCCCTTTGTTTTCCCGGGATTTTCCCATGAAAACCTGAAAACCATCATGGGATTTCCCATGAAAACCTCCATAAAAATAATATTTTATGATATTTTTTTCGCCTCTGGTTATGACATTCACAGTTTGCCATGGAAGCCATCACCATGGCTTTTTTCAGAACGGTATGGCCCATCTATTTCTATGTCCATGAGAGTCCACCAGAATCTATTCCTCTTGGGACTCAGTCCCAAGGCTTTTTTTTAGATCCCTGAGAAGTCGAGGACTTCTCAACTGCGAAAAAATGCTCCAAAAACATGACTCTTTTTATCTAATCTCTTTATATACTGTAACTGCCCTTCCCATAGTACAAGTATTTACAAGTTATCCATGAAACGCCATCTATCCAGGGCCTCTTCGACAGATCCAACAAAATGTAGCCTCTGCAATGCACAGACAGAGCTGGCTGCCGTGATTCTCATCATGATGTCCCTGGGCCTCGAGGCAGGGCCCCTGACCCACTGGGGGCACCAATGGGCACCGGGGCATGGCCGAATTGTCAGGTCTTGGCGGCATTGCGACGGTGCCATGGAATGCATTCAGCCCCAATTGTGATTCTTTGTGACACTTAGGTCCTTAGAGATCTTAGAGGTCCTTAGCCAAAAGATGCCAAAAGCTTCAGTTGTTTCACATCCAGTCTGGTACAGAGTAATTAGTGCTCTACTCATCTCCAGTTGACATTTCAGGCGGAGCAACGGGGCAGGCAAACTGCAGCATTCTGTTCTTGAACGATACAAGGTTGGCGACGGCCACTAAAAGTCTGTTGGACGATGTTTCCAAATCTGATATAACCAACTAATAACCAGTTCAATGGTAGTAAAGCAATAGTAAACCACCCATATTTTGATGGTTCATAGCACCAATGGTAAAATTGAGGATGGTTTGTTCTTGCTTTACCAACATGACGGGGATTCAGAGATTCACGAGCAGAAAAACAAGCTGTGACACAATGCTGTGACACAACTTGCCCCGCCTGAGAGGATCCGCTGCTTCTCTCCACGCTCTGTCCAGCTCTACTGACAATGACAATCTTCACGGCTTGGGGTGCAGGTCGCTGGTTCCGGCTGACAAAGTGAGAAAGTTGCGGATCAAAAATCCAGGGATCAGCGAATCAGCTTCCCCAGTTGGTTTTTTTGTTCCAAATTGAACTTTTTTGAATCATTTTGAAAGTCATCGAACATGCAGATTTTGCCTATCCTGATGCCACTTTCGATGACTGCCATGGCCTTTGATCAGTTTCACCGCGGCCAGGAGCTGTACAGCACTTCGGCATCGTACCACGTAGCTTGGAGGGCTTGCCTGGAGTTGTCTTCGGCTGCTTTGTGTGCCAGACTCAGAGGGATCGCCACTGTGGAAGAAATGGAAGAAATATGGAACATCACTTGACATCTCTTGACATCAGTTAGACAATGGGGAATTTCATGGAATTTCCAGGAATTTACCTTGAATTTCATGACAATTTTCATAGGGAATTGAATGAATGTCCAAACGATGTTAGACTGTTAGACCGTGAAATGTTGGCCAGTCGGCGTGTTGTCAATACTTTCAACCTCAAAGCAGTCAGATGAACTGACTTTTCCGACTTGGGTCGCTGCACCAGCCAGGCATTTTTCTTGGCCTCACTGTCTCTGGAATGTGGTGGTGCAATGCTCAGTGCTAACATTTCTGATTTCTCGTTGCGTTTGCAACGAGAAAGGCTGGATTCTGCCAGAGATTCGGGCCAAGGCTCTGGGTCTTTTGGCGCCCTGCGTTCTCGGTGCTGGTGTGACAAACCTGCCAGCACATTGGCAGAAAAGATGCAGCAGGTAGACGCACGCACCAGCCAGGTATTTAGCCCGTTTTGTTGATGCTCGCATTCATGAGCATCTGCAAAAGGACAAAAGGTTAGACCAATGACAGGATGCCTACGATTTTGGAAAATTTCAATACCACCCGCATGATCCCGGTTTTTCTGACCGCATTTTGTAGGACTATGTGACTATGTGCATGCCAGTCTTGCGGTTTGAGCCCTCCCACAGACACAAATAGATACAAATAGACATACATCATATATACGTACGCAAAGATATGGCAGTGTGTCAAAACCTTGTACCCCTGGTGAACATCAAAATAGCTGGCAAATGGATGTTCATCCCCCTAAAAATGGTATTAATAGGTACGGTATTGATCCATACCCATATCGACTCTACTGCATGGACGTACGCTTGAGGCGGCATCAGCCTTCATTGCTCTCACAAGCGGCTTCTGCAGATCCCCCAGCCTCGTGCAGTTGGATTTTCTGTGGGATTGTACCATCTGGTTATGACTAACATAGCCATGGAAAATTGCCATTTATAGTGAGTTTTCCATAGTTTTCCCATTAATGATGGTGATTTTCCATAGCTATGTTTGTTTACCAGAGGGTACTGTACATTGGTTTGAGACCTTCACAAAGAAAGATCTTGCAGCAATTGGTTGCAGCAAGTGATGACACTTATGCCTGGAGATGTGTCAGCTAGACTCGTGTGAATTGCCTCACGAATCAAGGCGTGTGGTGCATGGCCAGACCTGCACTTCACGGGGGAGCAAGTGGTGTAGTTTGTGGCTATCTTGGCTTGCTGGCAGCTTTGATGCTGAGAAGGCGGGAATCCCGAGATGGAAAAAGTATAAGGAATATCAATCACTGATTGTCATGGTATACATGATTATAATTTTACCCACAGACGCCGCGTGTTGCCCAGACATTAACATTGAGGATGTCGTGTTGTTGAATAAGATAGTAGAAATTGCAGAAAACACTGCATATACACAGAGTTTTCTGGTTTAGGATTCAAAGTTTTCAGGGTTTAGGGTTTAAGGTTTTTGGGTTTTTGGGTTTAGGATTTAGGGTTAGTCGTCTGGGAAATCTCAAAACACTGGCCCTGCGCAGGTGTTTGAGCATGTTGAAGGATCATGCTCAAACGCCATGTGAATTTTCCGGGCAACACGCAGCGCCTGGCCGTAATTTTACAATAGTATTGATACGTGTTATACTATGATTATCAATTATAACTATCATTATTTTATATAATACTTGGTAGATGATACATGCTAATGATTACTAATGATGCGTGATAATACTACTTGTATGATACTACCGCACAATATTCACAAGTCGCCCACACCGAAAACTGCTGCAGTATTTCGAGTGTGTGCCACAGTTTTTGTGTCGTATTGTCCTTGTGACTTGCTACTCTTCCTTGGCCTTGTGTGGGCGGCATCTTCATGGGAAGGGTGCTTGAGAATATACAAAATAAATCAAAATAATTAGATTCATAGATAATCATAGAGATCTCTACAATTTTCTGTAAATAAATACATACATCCATACCATATCATACCATACCGTACCGTACATATGTTGAGTGCACGGTTTGGATCACAGCAAAATAAAGAGCTCTTGGTACGTCTTGGTGCCCCGAAGTCAGGCGAGATGTACCACTCTGCACTCTTCTCATGGTCAGTTCCCAAGGCTTAGCTTGTTCAAACTCCACAATGGCTGTGTCTGATGCATTAAAGGACCCAAAAGGCTGCATCAATAAATGGGGAAAAGGGTGTTGCCTATTTTCAGACAATCCTAGTCTTGTTCTATTGAATTGTTTTAAGATGTTTAGGTAAACCTATGACCATTTTTGTCGAGCATCTTGTCTCTCTGTTCTGCCCTTTAGGTCTTGGGAGTTGTTGCATGCTACAGCGGTGCCCTTCTGATGTTTTTGTCTCAGGAACAGCTAAAATTTGTTGTGGAACGTGCCATTTGGTCATCCAAAGTCAACATCATTGAACATCCCTTGAACTCATAAAACTTGTCAAAGGCATGGACCCGGTGCTCCCTTCGAACCACTTTATGAGGTGCAGTACAGTAGTACACGGCATGGTGATGTTCTCGCTGTCATGTAGCTGGTCCTGACATCTAATGTACATCGGTCATCATGATCATGTCATCATTGATGGATTCCGGATCTGTGACGGCAGAGATGTTGGCTTTTTGGAGCCTTTGCCGTCAAAATTTGCTGGGGGTATGGCATGATTCCTGGCCTGATATGATCTGTTTACATCTAGGTGTTGGCATGCCACTTGAAAACTGGTGACGGGCAGAGGAGGTTCCAGAAATGTCCACAAATTTCCACTTGGCTCCTGAGGGATTTCTTTTCCTTCACAGCCAATATTCAATATCAATCAATCAATATATCAATATATATATATATATATATATGCACCTCCCCAAGACCTACCTTTTGTGTAGCAGATATATTTCTATATATTTCTGAATGCCTTGTCTTCCTTCTTATCTTATCACCTAATGTAGCAACATCTTCATGCTGAACCCATGTGGGATGTTTGATTCTTGGTTAATACCTTGTTTTCACCGCACCCGCAAGCGGTTGGGTCCTGGGGCTGTGCAAATCGCCAGGCCTGCAAATCGCACAAGACCTCTGCCGAGCATCACACCTTTGGCTTCTTGTCAGGCCCGAGGTATTGGGAGTTTCTGATTCTGATCTTGAGAAAATTGGGAAGAACATGGAACCGAAAATTCAGATTAAACATGATTTGGAGGCAAGTTGCAAAGATCCAGTGTCCTTTACAGCACCAAGATGCACGAAATTGGTCCCTAAGTCTACGGATCTCTTGGGTGCTTCTGCTGTGTGGCAGCGTATGGTACCAAGTGGCTTGTAGCGGTGACTGTTTGGCCCTGCCGGCAGGTTTGGTCTTTGCCCTACTTTTTGTTCGATCGCGCGATGGCCCGGTGAGTCCCGGCTGAGCAGCGCTGCAGCGCAAGCTGAAGCTTTTTGTAAGATTTGAATTCTTCGAAGTGTACAGATCATCTGATTCTGTTCAGATTGTGAAGAGATCCAGAAAATTCGAAAATTCTGTGAACAGTTTCACCGATGTCAAGCTGCGAAAGCTGACGACATTTCCCCTGATGGCGACGTGGTCGTCTTTTGCCAACTCTTGTGGCAGCACGGCACATCGGGGGGGTGACTGGACTTCCAGAGGGTTCAGAGCCACAGGTCTTGCGACAGTCAAATAGGCATCTGAACGAAGGACTACTTGGAGCCATGAGATGAATCATCCATGGCTGATGGCTTAATCATCCATGGCTCAATATATCAGGGATATAAACATGATATTTTTATGGGGGTTTCCTAAAATCCTAAAATGGAGGTGCCGCACCAAGTCGCCATGGGTTTCAATACCTGGATGATCTCATGATGTTACAGTGACAGTGCTACTTCTCACACACTCATTGTGACACCAGGAGATAGAACACAGCAAAAAATCATGGGAAGCCAACCATGATTGGCATAAATTGCCATATGAATTTGAGTTCATGTTTCCACCATCCCAACCAAACTGTTCATGGCAATCCATGGCGAATATGTGGCATATGGGCTGATGGCCTTGCAGCTTTAGTGTCGAACCTCTTCCTTGGCCGAAGCAGCCCTTTGGCCTGGTGAAGGAGCCGAGCCGACCCAGTTCACATTGGCGTGGCAACATGTGGAGTTTTCAGATGTTTTTCATTGTTTTTCCATGTTTTCCCCCTAGAGTTGAATGATTATAATATATTATAATGATGTGTGGAGTCTCATTTTCTATCTCTTGAATGTTTCGGAGATCTACATCCAGATTTAGCATGGACCTACATCGAATTGCATCGATTGAAACGATACGGATTTCTTCAGTCAGAACTTCTCGGATGCATCGATGCATCGTTTGACAAAACTCGGTCGCATGCTTGGAATGCTTGGATCGCATGCCCGAGCTGGAAACTGCAGGATACTCTTCTTGTATTTCTTGTGGGATGGGAGAGACAACGCAGACAAATTCCTATCCTGCAGGAATTGACAACATTTGACAACAAACCTGGTGACCCCATGAGAAGTTACTGCTACTGTATAGATTCTGTATGATTCTGTGACGGAAATCCACGGGATACTGCAATGCCATTGCAAGCATCTGGATAAAATGCGCAACATTTTGTCTTGATCTCAGGAGCAAAACAATGCCAGAAAAGCGCAAGCATGAAGAGGTGCGAATGGAAACCACTTCCCCCTCGTCGGAAATCTGATCAACATCAATAGATATCAATAGAATAATATGTTGTCAAACTTTTCTCCTCATACTTGTGTCAATAATGGTACAATGCTAAAAAAATACGAATACTACCATTTAATACCACTTCAATATATGATATATGTATCGCCTGAACACATAGATTGACATAGATCAGAATGATCACGTGATTTTTTCTCGGTTTTCAGGATTTGGACATCTATTGAAGGGGGCATTTCTCTATGGCATTAATATGGCCTTAATATGGCATAATGACCAAAGTCAAATCAGTCGACATCAGTCGACTGTGCAGAATTGTGCAGATGATTGAGCTGGACCTGGTTGTGGCCACTCGCGACAACACTGCAAAGCTCGGGTACTTTGTGGATGACACAGCGAGCTTCTGAGCTTCCCAGATCCAGATCCGATGATCCCTTCGAAGCGCCAGTGCTACTGGCTCCGAGGTAGTGAACCCAGGCTTGGGCATACCATTCTACAAGACGGTGCGGAACTCATGGAATGTCATGATGGTGGATGGATGATGGCCCCTTTTTCATGGGTGATCCGCAAAACCATAGGTTTCTGATTTTGGATGAGTTGGGGGTACCCCCATTTTAGGAAAGCTCCATTTGATGCTACTGGTTACCAGAGTTTGAAGCATCATGAGTCACCCCGCACTGATGGACCGAATCATTGACGATTCATTGACGTCCCAGAGGTTTTAGAAGGAGCGAACTACGAGGAAGCTGATTGGAAGGCTTGCGCCTGAAACGACAACGACCTGCACTGTTTTCAACCGTCTTCATTGCTTCGTAGAGTTGGTCCCTTCCTCTCAGGATCAAGCTTGCGTGCGCACCTCTCAAATCCATTGGCGCGAGGACCACAGCGTCTCCTGGTGGGGTTTCTCAGTATTTCTCAGTTGTTAGTTGATGTTAGTTGTTAGTGAAATTTGTGGCGGTTCCATCATTGATTCCCAGATATTCCCAGGCTGGAACGGCACATGGAGATGACTCAGGGCTTCATCGTTCTTGGGAAGAATCCTGGCTTGTTCGTGCTGGGAGAGCCTACCCATGACCGTGAGGCCAGATCAGATTTTAAACAATGTGTGCGCTTGATGCAACCTGTGCAAAGTCTGCAATAGCAAATCCAGGAAGCGTCGAACATGGCATGACGATTTAATATGAATATCATTTTAGTACAACTTATATATATATATATACATATACATTATATCTACAATTTATTATAATTTCATGTAATTATATATATATATATATACACAGTCATTTTACAAGTTATATATATATATATATATTATGTATAAATAATATGAGAATATATGAATAAAATCTGAAAATGGATGAACATGGCAAAGAAAGCGGCAATTTAATTCTCACTGTGGAAGCAAGTCATTTTCGCCAGGATCTTGATGAGAAGAATCGAAAATTGCCCGATCCAAAACGCACCAAGGCTGGGTCAAAAGGGACAGTTACCCTCTGGCAAACATACAAAAAGCTATGGAAAATCACCATCTTTGAGTTTGGTAAATCAACTATTTCTATGGGCCATTTTCAATAGCTATGTAACAAATTACCAGAGGGTACACATGATGTTCCATGATGTTTTTAATGATTTTGTACGAAGTATCACGAAGTTGTGTACGAAGTTTTTCCTTTCGCAAAGGCCTACATCATACCAGCAGGGATGGGCCTGATTTTGAAGAAGGGCACTTGGCACGACTTTCCAGTGTTGAAGCCTCAGGTTTATGGGCCAACTGTTGGTAACTGCTAGGTAACTGCTATCTACTCCACAAAGTGGATAGAGACCTTGGGGTGTTCAGGTCATGTGGTCCGCCAGTGTCTGCTTTCATTTTGAACACAGAAGAGGCGCTTTTCGGTCGTCGAAAGAACGAAGGATGTTGAAAACCATGTTTTCAGCATTTTTCCAGCATTTTTTCAGCATGGTTTCCATGTGCTTCAATTTTCTTGTACAACAATGCGTCAAAGTGCACGGCTTGCGTGGCCGGAGCGACGTGCCTTCGCAGATGCATTGTATTCCTGCTGGTCTGTTTTCGTTCGGGCAGGTCGTTGAAGCTTTGGCATCCATGCCACAGGCTCTTGGATTCTTTGTTGAAGTCATGTCATGCAAAGGAACAGGCCATCAAAGGCTACATTGTATCGTTTTGTGATGGTCATGCTCCACAAGTCAGAAAGACCAAACAAATCCAAGCGATATCAAATAATACAGATACTCAATGATACTCAGATACTTCAAGGCTGGTCCTATGAACCATGGCGACTGCTTCAAGCTGCATTTGGATGATCACTGGCACAGTTCCTAACTTCCCCACAGATGCGTGGCACGTTCCCGTTGTGGCTCCACTGGGCTCCACCGGCAACCGGCTCGCCTCTGAGGGACTTCAAGCTCAAGTTCCCGGATCCGCGACCATTTGTTCAAAAGCATGGCCTTCACCTAAGAGATCTCTGAGATCTGGGTGGTTTTGGGTGGTTTTGGTGGTTTTCTGACTGGTTCCAAAAGGTTCTAAAAGTTGAAGCATTTGGAGCGCCCTGTTTTTATGCCCAATGCATCCCAATGCCAGAACTCAGGATTGGTCCCTGGCCCTGTTTCTATGCCCCTCATGGGGAAGGAAGGCTATGGATTCTCGGTTACAATTTTTGCACCTACACACTGCAATCAAACGGCACATGTTCTCGTCCTTTTCTTGCCATCAGTCTCCTTGTCTCGAGGTTGGGATAGAATAGCATATTATATAATTATATATATAATATTATATATATATATTACAAAAGCATATAATAGCATTAGTAGCGACCCATGGAGTGATAGCATGTCATAACTAGTGGTCACTCATTGAACATCCTGCGTGTCCTGCCTGTATCATGGTAGTTTCAATGACTTTCAGCTAGCTGAGGTGCTGGGATGCAGAGGTCTGAGGCCTCCGGTCTGTCCAAGTTGTCAGTCCAATATGACCCCATCTTTTGGCCCATCTTTGGGTACTACCAGTTACTACCATGTTGAATTTTTGTGTTGAACATCCCATGAAAACACTCTGGGCAGTGGCAAAAGATGCAAAAAATGGTGACCTGTGGACTCGCTGTGGACTCGACTTCAATCTTTTGGCTCACCTGCGCCAGTGAATTGCCAGCTTGTAGCAGAAGAAGAAATCGAAGAGGTCATGAAAGTGCCATATGCAACCAACCAACCAACCCGCCAACCCGGCAACCCGCCAACCCCAAAACAGGAAAACAGGAAAACAGGGCCATTAGTATACATGAGTAAACTTCAATTGCGGGACGGACGTGACAGAAAGTGTATGGATCAAACGCCCGAGAGCAGTGCTCAGCTACTGTCTCAGTCTGTCTCAGTTGCATGGTTTGCATATATGTTTGCATATGTTTGGATGTAAACCCCAGTAACTATAGTTATAAGTACCATAAACCATAGTTATTGGAGTTATAAACCAACTTAGCTATCTAGGGGGCCCCACTTTGTGTGTTTGGATGAGTTGCAGTGCCGGCGCTCTTTTGAACTGAGGCCAGGTAAAGATGGCCAGGTCGAAATTGGAGGCAGATTCGAATTCCGGCCTAGCACGGGCAGCACGCAACGGAAAAAGCGTTGCAGGATGAGGTCCTGTCCCTGACCAACGCCTTCCGCACGAAAGAGGGTCAAAAACCTCTTCAGATGCACGAGGCAGAGTCTGTTTCTCTTTTTTGTGCTACACTATTATAAGTTTATATTATGTTTATATTTATATAGAGTTATTTTTTCTAGTTATTATAGAGTTATCTAATATAGTTATTATAGTGTTATTATACAGTTTATGCATTCACAGAATCATATTGACTCATGACCGTGCACATGCGAGAGGCCTTGAGCTCCGTGGCGAGAAAGCATGCGGTGTGAAGCTGAGCCAAGCTGAGCCGCTCACCCTGGCGCACACGTGGATGCTTAAGGTCCTTAAGGTCCATTATATGGTGTTGTGAACATGACTTTTATTTTCCATAATATATGGGATAATCATGGATAATCCTTCCCATTGACGAACTCATATTTTTCAAGATTCTTAAGACATGTTAAAACCACCAACCAGTATATATCTGGGTAAATTTGATCACGACCTCACTGTTCTCCCTCACTATAATCATAGTTAGGATTCGGCGAATCATCCCAAAATGGCCCAACAATTCAGGTTAGTGAAATATTGTAATTTACCCAGCTTATATGGTGTTGTGAGAAAAAATCCATGGTGTCTTCTTGTTCAGGTCATTTTGGATTCTGAGTCCTTGTGGCACTTTCTGTTCTTTGGTAGGAGCAGTTGTGGCACATCATTGACCTATACTGTGATACTGTGAGATTCTGTTGGAGCTTTGAAGATGTGGCAAAGTAGCTTGACCTTACTGGTGCTTAGCAGGCTTAGCAGGGAATGAGGGAATGATCCACTGGCTAACTATCAATAATCATCCCAGCAACCCCCATTCCCATCCATTCCCTACTAAGCACTTGTGGCAAAGTAGCTTGACAGAATAGCAATCGCTGTGAGTTGTCAGAGCCGTTGTGGAAAGTGGATGTGCAGAGGCTGCTATGGCCGATGGCGCGCAAGCCTTCAGTCATGATGGTGCACCTGAACGTTTTCAGGACTCAGGCAAAATTCAGGGCAAAATTCCGGTGTGTTTGGAACCCCCAAAAAATCACCAGTTGAATCGGGAAAATGATGGCTTAGTCGTTTACCACTGGATTTTGGGCTACTCTATTTCCCCCATTTTCAATAGCTGGTATATATGTAGCAGTGCCGAAATGTTTCCGAATCTTCTGCGAGTTTTTCGAGGCCTGGTTTGCCACAATTTCGCCGAGAATTTATCAGTGTCTACCGGCTTCGCTCGTGAGGCCAGGGTTCCGTGCAAAAAATAGGCACCGCTGAATGGAAACGCGTTGATTCTGTGCAAAGAATGCGCAGGTGATGGCCCAAACCACGGCCAAGACCTTACTTTGTGAACTGCAACTGTTTGAATCTGTTCGTATGTTGCTTTGTTTTTAATTGTTGACGGTTTTCCTTGATTTTGGATGATTCTATAATATTCTATATAGATTGTATAGCAGATTTATCCCCTCTCCAGACTTCGTGCGAGCCTTGAAAGTCGCTGCTTGTCCTTGCTTCAAAGAAGGTTTGGGAAGTGCAATGCTGGAGTTGTTGAAGTCTTTCTCGGGTTCCATTGTTCCATGGAGATCCATGAAGCATCAGCCATGAGGTAGATGGATGGATAGCATCCGATGGGCATCGCAGAAATCTTTTGGGACCTTTTAATGTCTGTGGCATAGGCAGGAGGACATCGAATCTTGCCGCTGGCACCCCCAGCACAAGCAGGTGCAATGCAAACCTGTCTCTTGTGAGTGCTTTTGTGTGGTCCTCTAACAGGCTGGTCGGCAAATGACAATTGTCAGCTCTATGCCGCTCTGGCGCAGTTTGACAGTTGTTTTCAGCTTCGGTCAGATGCTGCCTCTACAAGTTAGAGCATGGTCAGAGTCTCGATCCAGCCCCTGCAGAATGGCTCAGTGGCAAATACTTTGCCTTCCTTGCAACTCTGTTTAGTATGTTTACCTTGATGTACCCTGTATTCAGATGTATTCAGAGTATTCAGGGCTAGTGGAAGATGTGGAAGTCAATTTGTCTCTGCCAAACACATCATTTTCAGTGGCAGATTACTCAACTCCTGGCACTGGTGGACCTGGACGGAGAGGATCCGCTTCTCTCCTCAAAGGCGGGCTGATCTGGTTCCAATCTGACTACGCGTCGCTTGTTGCGTCGATGCGACACCTCCGTCTAGGTACTCTGTGATCTCGCGTTGAGGTGCCCCTGGCATTGGACTTGCAAAATTCATCAGAATTCCAACAGTACCCTCTGGTAATTTAATATATAGGTATTGAAGATGGCCATTTATAGTTGATTTACCTATGAAAAATGGGGACTTTCCATAGCTTTTTGTATGTTTACCAGAGGGTACCCAAACATTCCTGCTCCATAGGTTCTCAAACCAAGTGACCTTTTCTATCCTTTTCTGTTTGATACACCCTGCAAGGTGCATAGACTCCACACCTGCAGTGTGCGCAGTTGCAGGTGCCAGCAACAAAGCCATCATTTTGCAAATAGTAAATATGATGTAAATATGTAAACATACCCACATATACCCACATATACCCACCATTACCCACCATGACCCACCCATCCGTGGTGACTTGGGGATGGCCGCCATGGCCCGCAGGTCTTGCTCTTGCTGGCTCTGCTGGTGCTGTTGCTGGCACTATCTTGGGTGGAGCGGCCAGCGTTCAGTGGGGTGTGAGGCGAGGCGACTTCCGGCGAGTTGGACTGGAAAAACATCAGTCAGAGTTGTGTCTCTTGATATGGCTATGTTCGTTTACCATGGCTATGTTCGTTTACCAGAAGGTAAATTCAGTGATGAGAATCTTAGTATACGAATATAATATATGGTTATGGGTCAAAATTAAAGAATTGGGTTACCACAGATATAGGTCTAGGTTTAGTATTAAGCATCCATGTATTGGGGTACCTAATTTTGACCCGTCCCCATATATATATATATACCCAAGTAGTCCCAGGTCTATTCTTTTTATAGACATTAGGTATACGATGGTATACGTATATACATTCGCACATGTCCCTGTGTCATGCCCTGTCACGCCCCACCACCTATACCTACCAGTTGAAACATGTTAAAACAACAGCGTGTGCACATGGACATATCCCAACTTGAACAAAGGTCCTGAAATTAGAAACATGTTTATGCCCAGGATTTCCAACAACTCTCTGGCGCATGATTCGCCATTTTTTCTCTGGTTCTTTGTTTGAAGCTTCGCGAGCTCAAATTCTTTGCGCGGCAGAATGGTTGAGCCTAGGCAACCCCAAAAAATGGTTGGAGTTGGGGTCCGAGATTCCCCCAAATTTTCCCAAATGATACCCAAATGAATTGGGGCCCCATTATTCAATTTCTCACAGATAAAAATGGCTCTGGTGAACTTGTTTTGGTTCATGCATGCATGGAAATCATCCTGTGGACATGTGGGAGGGCACTTGAACCAATGCAAGTTTGAGATCCGGCATAGATATGCAGCCATGATCCATGCGATATTGGTTCAAACAATTGCCCAACATGACCCGCTGTAGCAATTACGGGTACGCCCTTGTTGGCATGAACACAAATTGAACAAGTGCAAAAATATACCAAAATTATCCAAAATTGATAGATTTTTGGGGGTAGTGGGACCACGCAAAAGTTTAGACGCTCCACGGTCTGACCACGCATGTGACACGGTCTGGTCATAGTGCAACTGCAAGTGGGTCAGAATTTTAAAGACCCACAGGACTTGAAAAAGCACGGGCTCCCACCCAACCATAAATTTTGGATATGACGGGGCATGAGATGCTTATTTTTGTCATTTTCTGGGAATTATCAATATACCCAAATATATTTAAAGTTTTGCTGGTGCAATTTATCCCAAGCATAGGCCGGGTGCAGTCCCAGTACCATTCTCTTGAATTTGGGGCATAGGCCGCTATAATAGTTTACAAACCACAACGGAAAGTTGGTTTGAACTTTCCTTGGCTTTTCTGCTCCATCAGAAACTCTTTGACGGACTCGAGGTTGGCAATGCTCCAGTCCATTTTTGGCATCGCCTCATGAGAACACTCGTGGGCCCTCTTCATGACAACGCTCGTGGGCCATGGCTTCACTGATGATCCTACTTGCTTAAAAAATGTTCTAAGTTTCATAATTTGCCACCCAGATTTGGGAAGAAAATGAAGTGATGGTACGCGTTGGTGTTCTAACGCTTGAACCTTGCCGACATCATCCCTTGCTGACCTGACTCCTGAGCAGAAGAGGCCAAAACCGCAGTGGGCAGGGGTGGATAGGCAAGCGTATATACATGGGATCCCCTGTCAAGACAAAATTCAGACATGAGCTTGCGTCTAAACAAAGTTTAGACATGGACCCTTTGGGTGTATATATATATATTTATATTTATATATCGAATATTTCTTTGAGATTCTTAATTATTCTATTGAACTCGCGCAACTAAGATAATCAATTACACTCTATGAACTTCGCCAATCCTCCATTTGAGGAGGTAGCAAGTCCTGTCTATGACTGTAGTTTGGCCAGTTTGAAAGCGTGGTCTTCTCGTTTTTGATGTGGAAGGACTTCACTCGTTGCTGAGTTTATGACAGCATTTTAGTCTTCCTTGCAGGCCTTCGACCATTCCATGTGCAATGCTTGCACGAGCCAAGCGAGAGCTGCTTGGAGTTGAACGGTTTCAAAAGTTTCTAACACCGCGGAAACCTGTTGATATGGGTGTTTGTACCGTTTTTTACCTGTTCATCACTTCGCTTTGCTGAGCTTCCTGTCTCCAGGGTTTGCCCCGCGCGTTGTGCAAGCTGCGGTGCTGCTGGAGAGATTTTGTTGCTCGGCGAAGTGATCACCAGCACATTCTTGCATTGATCACAAGGGGAGAGCCTCAAACAAGGCTAGTCTTCTACGCGTTCATTTCATTGATTGACACAAAAACATGGAAGGGAGTGAATGCTGATACTTTGCCAAATATAAAGATGTTGTATGCAATGTAACGCACTAACTACATCAAACTACTGTATAGATCTGTATAGCATATAATATAAATCCATGCGTATACCACAAATCACAAGTGTACGTGTGTGTACTTGTGCAATGGCGCGCATAGTAGAAGCTCAACGGCCTCTTTTTCCGTTGCAGTTCCTGAACTTGCTGTTGTGTAGGCCTCACTGCACTCAATTCACGGATGGACAACTCAAAGATTCTTTCGATAATTTCTCAACTGGCTCATGGCTCAAAAGGAGTGCTCCTGACTCATTCAGAGAGTCTTTCTCCTGGCATCTCCATCATTTTCCATGTCAACATGCATCTGACAGGTTGAACAAACAAGATCGTTCGCTGCTGTGCATTCGTGCAGCTCCCAGTCGGACCGTTGTACATTGATGCTGGGAGCATTGGGAGCATTGGGAGCGGCCGCCTTTTCCGTCCAAGGTTGTCATCCACAGCCCGAGTATTCTGATGTTTGGCAATTCTTGGATTAGCACAGGGAGATGGGAGAAACATGGAGAAACCAGAAATAGTCATGAAATCAACATTACCCAACCTTGGCGTGTTGAATCCTTGAGTTTTTTTTCATCGTTTTTTATGTTATTTTTTGCTAATGAAAAAGATTGAACGATCTCCAGCCAGCAACAGATCGATTTTGTGTGGACTACCAAAGATTGACCATGCATTGTTATGGTTATCTGGGAGAACAGGATCTGACACGTCCACCTGGTCATACTGCAGCTGATGGTTTTTGTACCCCAGACACCTGATATATCCTGATTCAGTTTATGTTTTAGCGCTATGGATGCAATTCCAAGTATCCAGTGGCATTCTTGCTCTCGTGCCACCTAGTTTAGCATAGTTTGATTCTAGCAGCACAAACCAGATTTTGCGGCATGTTTGTGCAGGAAGAAACTTTGACCAATGCAGGTTTTCTAGTGACTCATATGTTTGACTCCATATGACCATGCTCAGTGTCTCCCTGTGCCATTCCGGCTTTATACAAGGCCGCTCAAGACATTTGTCTTATGGCCATGGCTCAAAACATCTCAAAACCATTAATCATTAGGACCCTCCAGTTGAACTGGCAAAAGTACGGAGCAACTTAGAGATCACCGCCATTTTTTTTGAGCCATACGACTGTACATATTCGCCCAATCAGAATGCAAAGCCACCTGTGACTGAAGCAGGGCAGCGGAACCAAGTAGAGCGAGCTGAGGCTGGCATTTTTTTCACCTTGGCTCTGAATTCACTGAAAGGCCGAACTTTTCCGCTTGATTACATAGGGTCCGATCTACGCTCAACCAATAATTGAACATCATTTATATAATTGATATTATGTGTTTGGTGTGGATTGGGCGGTATGATCTATGTTGCACGACAGGAATAGATTTCTTTCTTGTTTAATGTGGCAGTGCGGGAAGGTTGAGGTTCCAGGTCTGAAGTGCAGAGAGAAAGCCCCGATTTCTCGGCAAATTGGGAATCTGGGCCACCTTGGGCCAACTTTGGGCAACTTTGGCCAGTCAACCAACTGGTCAACAGACACTCCGAATGTCAGAGTGAGGTCATGGTGTCACGCTCAAGGCACAGAGTAGTAAGCAAACTGGACACCAAAAAAACCGGAGCTTCAGACGCTGACCGCCGGAACTTGTCGACAGAAGCTGCACAAAACAGTGGCCTTTTTGTGGCCTTTGAAAAGCTGCTGATATCTGCTGTGTAGGTCAAAGCAGGATGGGCTGGAGGCAAGAAGGTCCACGTCATTCCAGTTGTGAACGTGGAGGCGCTGAGCTGAGCAATGCTGATCTGACAAAGCCAGCTTCGAGCTATTTCGAGCTGATGAACTCATTGGTAAATAGCCAGTAGCTTTTGACTTGTATTCTACGACAGGCAGATCTTGAGTATTGCACAGTTTCCAGCAGAACCATCAGGACCAGCATCAACGAGCATCAACAGCAAAGCAAATGAAACAGCCGCAGCTGTGTTGCTGCAGCAGGTTTTTGTGCCTGGGTGTGGTGGACCTTCAATCCAACCTCACCTCCAGTCTGCGGCTGCCTCAGTGCTTAACCTCTGAAACAGATAGCTTAAGTGAAATCTTGGTTTCCATATGTTTCCATAATTTCGAAGGATTCAAATGACCACAAAAAGAACGGCCGACTTGACAGGTTCCAGAGCTTGCCAACAGAGGATGGCGAGACTATGGTCCTGACCACAGCTTTTTTTCACGGAGCCCTTTTTGATGCCGTAGCTATGCCCTGAGATGACAAGGTAATCGTCGGGGCTTGCAGCGTTTGGCAAACATGTTCAAGGACGCTACGTTTCAGCCGCCATTTCAGCCGCCCAAGTTCCGCCCAAGTTGCTTTAGAATCTTTAATGTTCAGATGCTGTGAACATGACTACAGTATCTGATGTATCTGACAGAAATTGTTGGCAGGCACTGCAGATTCCAGCTACGGCAGTCATCAACAGTGAGGCTGCAAAACTTGACTACGTTGCGAAGGCAGGGTCAGCAACACAAGGAAGGGGTCTTTGCTGAGTTCTCTTGGAGAAAAGCGTCAGGATGATTGCAAAGTTCAGGCACGGGTCATATAGATTATGTATATAGTATATGTATATAATCATATACAATTACAATCAATTACATACATACTATAATCATATATACTAACATATATATACTAACATATGTATACTAACATATACTTATATACTCATATAATCATATATAATTAGTCATGCATACTCATATAATATATATAATTAATCATGTCGGTATATGTAATATTATATATATTATAATTATATATTATGTATTATATATATAGAGAATTATATATTATATAAAGAATTATATATTATATATTATATATTATATACATAATTATTTTTGGGCTGACGCCCCTCGTCGGCTCCGCCGGACCACTCGGCCCTCCATTTCATCGCAGTGTGGGCGTGAAAGTTACTGAATGAGGACCTGCTTCAGAAATATATTCCTTAGGTTTTTTGGAACGTATTTGTTGGAATAGACGATTTTTTGGGGAGCAAGTGAGTTCCCGAAAGCTCCTGCGAAGGGTTTTTCCTAAAGAACTGCTGCCGATTTCAACTTGTTACTTCGTGTAAAGGCGCCTCTGTGCAAAGACTTCTCTGTGTAAAAGCTTTTGTGTGTAAGAGTTTCTGTGTGTAAAAACCACTTTGTGTAAAGACTTTTTTGTGTAAAAGCTTCTCTGTGTGAAAGCATGTCTTTGTAAAGATTTCTCTGTGTGTAAAAGCTTCCGTGTATAAAAACTCTCTGTGTAAAGGCTACTTCTCTGTGTAAAAGTTTCTGTGTGTAAACGCGTCTGTGTGTTAAAGCTCTCTGTGTAAAGACTTCTTTGTGTAACAGCTTTTGTGTGTAAAAGCTCCAAGACGTTTGTGTGAAAAAGCTCCTCAGAGGAAAGACTTCTCTGTGTAAAACCTTCTGTGTGTAAAAAGCTACTCTGTGTAAATGTGTAAAAGCCCCTGCGTGTGTAAAAGCTTGCTGTGTGTAAACGCTTTGGTGTGTAAACGCTCCTCTGTGTAAAGGCTTCTCTGTGTAAAAGCTTCTGTGTGCAAACGCGTCTGTGTGTAAAAAGCCCTCTGTGTAAAGACTTCTTCGTGTAAAAACTTCTGTGAGTTAAAGCTCCTAGACGTTTGTCTGCAAAAGCACCTTAGAGTAAAGACTTCTCTGTGTAAAACCTTCTGTATGTAAAAAGCTCCTTTGTGTAAAGACTTCTCTGTGTAAAAGCCCCTGTGTGTGTGGGTAAAAGCTTCTGTGCGTCTCCTCCCTCCAGCTTTCTTTCGGGTCACGCTGTCGTCCAGTTTCAATCTGCAACGTTGTTTCTTGTGGAAGAGTGCAAAATAATGCAAAGAACATGTGAAAGCATCGCACGTTTAAAAATTGAACATAAACAGCGCACAAAGTGCTGTAATTTACAGCATATTGCGCTGTCAGCTGGCAAGAACCCGCGTAAATACCACAGTTTTAGTCCCCCAAAGTGGCTAAAACACTGTTATTTACAGGGTTTCGTTCACGTCACGATCTTCGATTTTTTGGGAAACGCGTAAATACCAGCGTTTTTTGCGTTCATCAAGGCAAAACATCGGTTCAAAAAGTGCAAAAAATGCTGTAATTTACAGGGGTTTGGCGCCGTCACGGGCAAAAAACCGTGTAAATACCAACGTTTCAGCGCCCAAAAGTGGCTAAAACACCGCTATTTACAGTGTTTCGTGCCTTCCACGTTTTCTTGAAATTGCAAAAACAGTGTAAATACCAGCATTTTTTGCGATCAACTTGCCAAAAATGCTGTAATTTACAGTGTTTTTTTGCTTGGCTTTCAAAAACACTGGTATTTGCGGTGTTTTGTGCATCTCCGGTCTAAAAAGTATTGGTATTTACAGCATTTTCTGCTTTTTTTCATTGCTCCCGCAAAAGACGTCAAAACGCAAAAATGCTGTAATTTACAGCATTTTGTGACTTTCGAAAAGCGAAAAATCGTCCGAAAAATGTGTCAAAACGGCGCTTTTTTCCGATTTTAGGTACCCTCAAAACGGGGGGGGGAATGCTCTTGGAGACGCTTATGAGCGACCCGGATCCCGGCCAAAAAGCTCTCCCCCACCCTCCTGAAGGATTTTTGGTGTTTTTCGGGGCCCGGCGTCGGAGGGTCGGCGGTTGGGGGCGCGCCTCACCTTAGAGCTCTAGTCGCTCTGGGACGCTCGTAGGGCAAGCCACTCGTGGGGAGCCGGCGGAGCCGAATTTAAGGGCTGACGCCCCTCGTCGGCTCCGCCGGATTTCTCGACCCTCCATTTCATCGCAGTGTGGGCTTGAAAGCTTTTGGATGGGGACCTGCTTCAGAAATATATTCCTTATGTTTTTTGAAAAAAGTTCATGGAATAGGAACTTTGTTGGAAATAGACGGCTTTTTTGGGGAGCAAGTGAGTTCCCGAAAGCTCCTGCCAAGGGTTTTTCCCGAAGAACTGCTGCCAATTTCAACTTGTTACTTCGTGTAAAGGCGCCTCTGTGCAAAGACTTCTCTGTGTAAAAGCTTTTGTGTGTAAAAGTTTCTGTGTGTAAAAACCACTTTGTGTAAAGACTTCTTTGTGTAAAAGCTTCTGTGTGTGAAAGCTTCTCTGTGTGAAACATCTGTGTAAAGATTTCACTGTGTGTAAAAGCTTCCGTGTGTAAAAACTCTCTGTGTAAAGTGTAAAGGCTTCTCTGTGTAAAAGCTTCTGTGTGTAAACGCGTCTGTGTGTGAAAGCTATATATCTGTGTAAAGACTTCTTTGTGTAACAGCTTCTGTGTGTAAAGGCTCCTAGACGTTTGTGTGCAAAAGCTCCTTAGAGTAAAGACTTCGCTGTGTAAAACCTTCTGTGTGTAAAAAGCTCCTTTGTGTAAAGACTTCTCTGTGTAAAAGCCCCTGTGTGTGTAAATGCTTTTGTGTGTAAAAGCTCCTCTGTGTAAAGGCTTCTCTGTGTAAAAGCTTCTGTGTGCAAACGCGTCTGTGTGTAAAAACTCTCTCTGTCAGGCCTTCTTCGTGTAAAAACGTCTGTGTGAAAAAGCTCCTAGACGTTTGTGTGCAAAAGCTCCTTAGAGTAAAGACTTCTCTGTGTAAAACCTTCTGTGTGTAAAAAGCTCCTTTGTGTAAGGACTTCTCTGTGTAAAAGCCCCTGTGTGTGTAAAAGCTTGCTGTGTGTAAATGCTTTTGTGTGTAAAAGCTCCTCTGTGTGAAGGCTTCTCTGTGTAAAAGCTTCTGTGTGCAAACGCGTCTGTGTGTAAAAACCCTCTGTGTAAAGACTTCTTCGTGTAAAAACTTCTGTGTGAAAAAGCTCCTAGACGTTTGTGTGCAAAAGCTCCTTAGAGTAAAGACTTCTCTGTGTAAAACCTTCTGTGTGTAAAAAGCTCCTTTGTGTAAAGACTTCTCTGTGTAAAAGCCCCTGTGTGTGTAAAAGCTTGCTGTGTGTAAATGCTTTTGTGTGTAAAAGCTCCTCTGTGTGAAGGCTTCTCTGTGTAAAAGCTTCTGTGTGCAAACGCGTCTGTGTGTAAAAAGCCCTCTGTGTAAAGACTTCTTCGTGTAAAAACTTCTGTGTGAAAAAGCTCCTAGACGTTTGTATGCAAAAGCTCCTTAGAGTAAAGACTTCTCTGTGTAAAACCTTCTGTGTGTAAAAAGCTCCTTTGTGTAAAGACTTCTCTGTGTAAAAGCCCCTGTATGTGTCAAAGCTTCTGTGCGACTCCCCTCCAGCTTTCTTTCGGGTCACTCTGTCGTCCAGTTTCAATCTGCAACATTGTTTCTTGTGGAAGAATGCAAAGGACAGGTGAAAGCATCGCAGGTTAAAAAATTGAACATAAGCAGCGCACAACGTGCTGTAATTTACAGCATTTTGCGCTGTCAGATGGCAAGAACCCGCGTAAATACCACAGTTTTAGTCCCCGAAAGTTGCTAAAACACTGTTATTTACAGGGTTTCGTTCTCGTCACGATCTTCGATTTTTTGAAAAACGCGTAAATACCAGCGTTTTTTGCGTTCATCAACGCAAAAAATCGGTTCAAAAAGGGAAGAAAATGCTGTAATTTACAGGGGTTTGGCGCCGCCACGGGCAAAAAACTACGTAAATACCAGCGTTTCGGCGTCCAAAAGTTGCCAAAACACCGCTATTTACAGTGTTTTGTGCCTTCCACGTTTTCTTGAAATTGCAAAAACCGTGTAAATACCATCATTTTTTGCGATCAACCCGCCAAAAATGCTGTAATTTACAGTGTTTTTCTGCTTGGCTTTCAAAAACACTGGTATTTGCAGTGTTTTGTGCATCTCGGGTCCAAAAAGTAATGGTATTTACAGCATTTTCTGCGTTTTTGCATGGCTCCCGCAAAAGACGTTAAAACGCAAAAATGCTGTAATTTACAGCATTTTATGACTTTCGAAAAGCGAAAAATCGTCCGAAAAATGTGTCAAAACGGTGCTTTTTCCCGATTTTAGGTACCCTCCAAACGGGGGGGGGGGCCTTTTTCTCTTGGAGACGCTTATGAGCGACCCGGATTCCGGCCAAAAAGCTCTCCCCCACCCTCCTGAAGGATTTTTGGTGTTTTTCGGGGCCCGGCGTCGGAGGGTCGGCGGTTTGGGGCGCGCCTTACCTTAGAGCTCTAGTCGCTCTGGGACGCTCGTGGGGCAAGCCACTCGTGGGGAGCCGGCGGAGCCGAATTAAGGGGCTACGCCCCCTGCCGCCGACCCCTGGGAGAGAGTGAGTTTGGAACCCTTCGTGTGCCTGCAGTGAACATCTTCCACAGTGATGGCGGCCGATGCTCAGTCAAAGTCGCACTTAGATCGTTGATGGCCCAAGCTTGCAGGAGTAGACGTCGCCAGCATGGCCTCCAGACATTCATGGAATTTGAACGGAATCAGAAGATCAGCAATTCGAAAGATGAACATTCAAAGAGCACAGGGCAATCGAAATCATAGAAACTCTCAATGCATTTGTACACTAGACACA